GGTACTGTGGTCCTCCGATACTGTTCTCTGTTGCACGGCAGCCGGTGGGGAGGTCAGGCGCCTGGTGGGATGCCGCACTATGATACTGCAGAAGCACAGTTGTTCCTGCCCCTGCCCCTCAGCAACTGGTCCAGCCAAGGTTTCTGCAGCCTCCTAGACAGAAGGTGTCAGCAAGCCAGCCTGTGCTCCCAGCTAACTTTTGAGGTCTACTCTGGCTCCCCCTTTAGTCCTTATCATGCCGATTCTGTGTTGTATATTGTAGCAGATCTTGCTCTCTCCTGCCTTCTCCTGTCTCTCTGCCATCCTTCGTTCTTGCCCTATCACTGCTGAATGCATCTGTGGGTTGTAAACTCAGCAAACTACAGATGACAAGCCGCAGTCTCTTGTTTCCAGAATGGTCCCCAAACCTCAGTTTTATTTAGAGGCCTCTGAATTAACAGGTAAACTATCAAGCAGGGCAGACAGGGGAGAGGCAGGGGGCTCCTCAAACTTCTACAGATTTTTGGACAGTTTTCTTCTTCATTTACTCCCTATCTTGGATCAGGGAGGTCAGTGCAAGGTGGGGGCATATAGGGTTCACTTTGAACTAGCTGTTTAAGACTCACTGTCTCAAATGAACTTATTTACAGAAAGACTCACAGACATAGGGAACAGACTTACAGGTGGGGAGCGCAGGGGGAATGGATTGGGAATTTGGGATTAGCAGATGTAAACTATTACATTTAGATTAGATAAACAATAAGGTCCAACTGTCGAGCACAGGAAACTATATTCAATATTCTGGGATAAATCGTAACAGAAAAGAAAATGAAAAAGAACGCATATACATGTATAACTCAATCACTGTTGTACAGCAGAAATTCACGCATTACAAAGCAGCTATACATGAATACAATAAAAAAATTTTTTTTAATTGAACATTGAGAAATTTTTAAAAATTAATTAAAAATTAAAAAAAAACAGATTTAGGGTCTAGCCAAGAAGTCATTCACCAGAAGCTATAGACGGACCAGTGGCTGAGAGTGGGGGTGGGGAACTGTACTGCCCCTGCCACACCCTCCTGCAGAGAGCTGTGAGTCCCCACCAGGTGCCTCAAACCCATCAGTTTTCAATTCCGAGATTACAAACAGTAATCCGTGCAATTTTAGCTTGGCCTCCAGATGTGAAGGAAAATACCTTCCAGGGACACTTCTCATCAGTTCAGTTCAATTTAGTTACCCAGTCATGTCCAATTCTTTGCGACCCCATGGACTGCAGCACGCCAGGCCTCCCTGCCCATCACCATCTCCCGGAACTTACTCAAACTCATGTCCATCAGGTCGGTGATGCCATCCAACCATCTCATCCTCTGTCCTCCCCTTCTCCCACCCTCAATCTTTCCCAGCATCAGGGTCTTTTCCAATGAGTCAGCTCTTCGTATCACGTGGCCAAAGTATTGGAGTTTCAGCTTCAGCATCAATCCTTCCAATGAATATTCAGGACTTATTTCCTTTAGGATGGACTGGTTGGATCTCCTTGCAGTCCAAGAGACTCTCAGGAGTCTTCTCCAACACCACAGTTCAAAAGCATCAATTCTTTGGTGCTCAGCTTTCTTTATACATGTCTCATCACCTCGGTATAAACAGATAGCATCTGCTCCCAGCACTGGGTCCCTGGCTTTGCTACCAGGCTGCAGGGCATTTTCTCCTCCCACTTGTCCACCACTGTGCCCACTCTGAGGCACACCAGAGGCAGAGGGGCCCTTGATCTGCAGGCATCGGCATCTCTGATCCCAGCTCTGCTGAGCCTCTTAAGACATACTTCGGGGATGGAAGAAATGAACTGGTTTTGAACCTGATTTGAGAGATTTTTGTTCTAACTCTTTCTGCTCTGGACCCAATCAGATGATCTGGGGTTCCAGCAGATAGGTTCCACTTGTCTCCAGGGACCTACACTCCATCCCTCAAATGCCAGCCTTTCATAGTTGATCCTTCCCCTAAATAGTTCATTTAAAGGGGAATGTCTATGAATGCAACTTCAAAGCTCATTTTAAAAACTGAAGTCTAGTTGCCCTACAATATTATATTAATTTCAGGTGTACAACACAGTGATTCAATATAATAGATTATACTCCAAATAAAGTTACAAAATACTTGCTATATTCCCTGTGCTGGACATTACACCCTTCAGTCTTATTTATGTTATACCCAAATAGTGCAAAACTCTCAATACAGCTGGAGTTATAGGTCCTCTGAGAGGCACCACCTATGCCTTGTTTGGAAGGATCACAAGCTGAGAGAACCAGAAGAAAAGATCCGCTTCCTTATTTTATCTCCCTTCATCCCTGTGTCACTGATCCACCTACATCTCAATTTCCCCCTGCTTCTGATTGCATTCTGGCTGCTGAGCTTAAGGATTTATCTTTTCAACATTCCCTGGCTCCCCAGCTTCCCCACTGAAAAATGATGGATGTCCCCTCCCACTTGTCAGTTTCACTGAGGCCAGGTCTCAGGGGTACATTTAACCTTCCATAAATCGGCACAGAATCTCTGAGCTACGAAACTTGGTACCAACAGCGCTGAGCATGCTCCATCCCTTATTGCTGTTTTGAATACATTCCTACCAGAAAACTTACTTTTTAGTTCTGGGCTTCCTTCCACTTCTCAGTTTTCACTCATATGTCCCTGAAAGTGGCAACAGCTTCCCAATGCACAACCACAAAATATTCTGCAGTATTTCCTCATTCTGATACTAGTTAAAATTAGGAGTAGAAATATCCAAACCCATTTTGCTGGACTCCTTAGTATCTGTGTTCTCCCTGTATCTGTAAATTTGTAAAAGGAACATATTTCCTTTTACAATAAACACAGGCTGTCTGATTCTGAGCATCTGATAAGGACTGTGTTGTGTGACAAACTACTAATAAACACTCACAGAAGCGGGTCTCTCACTCTACTTAGGCCTAGAGCACTAAGACCTTGTTGGTGAGAATCATCAGGAACTTGGGCTGTTTAAAATCTGCCAGTATTTTTCAGAGTCATCTTAGGGCGAAGACTATTTCAGGAAAGCCAGTTTAATGGATCTTTTGGGTATGGGAGAGTAGAATCAATTTTTGATTCTGGCTTGGAGGTAATGAAGGGCTTCTCTGATAGCTCAGTTGGTAAAGAATCTGCCAGAAATACATGAGACCCCGGTTGGATTCCTGGGTCAGGAAGATCCACTGGAGAAGAGATAGGCTACCTACTCCAGTATTCTTGGGCTTCCCTTGTGGCTCAGCTGGTAAAGAATTCGCCTGCAATGTGGGAGACCTGGGTTTGATCCCTGGGTTGGGAAGATCCCCTGGAGAAGGGAAAGGCTACTGTCAAGTATTCTGGCCTAGAGAATTCCATGGACTGCGTAATATATGTATGGACTGTGTAGTCCATGGGGTCGCAAAGAGTTGGACACGACTGAGTGACTTTCACTTTGGAAGGAATGAGGAGCCAAGCTGCTCTATATCGTAATTCTGAAGGTTACTGAATGTAACTGAAGGTTACTGAATGTAATTACTGAATGTCTTTACAGATTATTATGCTACTGATGGGGAGGGTGAACCTGATGCGGGGTTTTAAACAGAAGGGATTTTAAACAGAAACCAATTTTTTTTTCTCTTTCTCTAAGAAGGGGAAAATGTCCAAAGATTCTCCTGTCAATAGCCGCTGGTGGTAGATGGAATCAAGAAAACAGAGAGGCAGTGGGCTCTCTGTGGATGGCCATGGCTTAGGAATCCAAGAGAAGGGAGATGCAATATCCATTTTTTTTTCTTTGCTATAATGCCCTTCTATGAGACTCAAGCTTCCAATCAAGTTCTGTAAAACTGGTCTTTGCTATGATTTAGAAGATTGACGGACAGCCTATGGCTACACTCTGGGGGACTGTTCTAGGCAGCAGGGTGGCAGGCTGGGGAAGCTGGCTGAGAGCTGGAGTGGTCCAGGGAAGGTGGCAGAAGAGGTGATACTTGGCAGCTAAGATCACGTAAACATTGCTCAAGGATGATCTCAGTAAAACTTGGGGAGAGAAGACGGGTCAAAGACAGAACATCCAGCATATGACTGAGGTCAGAAGATGTGTTCTTCTTTGGGTATTAAATGGAACAGTGACCTCTCAAGACTGGAGAACTTGGGAACATGTGAGCTCTTTTAGGAATGGGCCTAATAATTTAAAACCTCTTTAAATTAAGACAGCCGTACTTCTTACTGTCATATCCACTGTCTCTATTCCTAGCCTCCCTACCACCTCCTCCAACTCCTGTGATGTTTCGACATATCACTTGACATTTTGAACAAAGATGTGATATATAGGGAATTTAGAAAGATGGTAACGATAACCCTATATGCAAAACAGAAAAAGAGACACAGATGTACAGAACAGACTTTTGGACTCTGTGGGAGAAGGCGAGGGTAGGATGTTTCAAGAGAACAGCATCGAAACATGTATATTATCTAGGGTGAAACAGATCACCAGCCCAGGTTGGATGCATGAGACAAGTGCTCGGACCTGGTGCACTGGGAAGACCCAGAGGGATAGGGTGGAGAGGGAGGTGGGAGGGGGGATCGGGATGGGGAATACATGTATATCCATGGCTGATTCATGTCAATGTATGACAAAAACCACTACAATATTGTAAAGTAATTAGCCTCCAACTAATAAAAATAAATGAAAAAAAAAAAAGAAGATAATGTGAACTTTTCAGTGCTGTTTATTTCTCACCCTGTCATTGTTCCTATGATTCACACAAAAAACAAGAATAATTCTAAAGTTCCAGTCAGTGCATACTGTTCTGTTAATAGCATAACAATTCAGTCATAATAAATTATACCTAAAGAAAAAAAATTAAAATCTAAAGGTAATCTGGTGCTTCTGTGTAATTTATATATGGCTTCCTTCCTTAAGTCAAGTTATTTTATCATCATTTTTCTCCTGTGGAGAAATCACTATGCTCTAAAAACACATTGAGACTGGAGCCAGTCAAGGAAACTTACTTTCTATCGGGACTCCATTTGATAACCAGCTAATTCTGGGTTTCGGATTGCCATTCGCTCTGCAGATGAGGGTTCCATCCTCTTCAGGGGACAGCACAAGATTTTGAGGTGCTATGATCCAGTATGGAGCCGCTTTATGAGGAAAGGAAAAAATCCCACAAAATTGAATCAAGTAAGTTATTCTAGGAAATTTAGTACACTGAACCATCTTAATGATAAAAATAAGTATGTTGCAAACCATGTGTTAATTTCATTTTTTTTTAGAGTGAACAGACTTCTAAGTGATACTTCAAAAACACTTCAGATTTTCAAAAAGAATGTTTAAAGAGACTCATTAACGTCTATGTATCATTTCAAGAGCCTTTTGATTCAAATATCATTGTCTTGGTTCTACACTGTATGGATCAGATATCAAAGAGGTAACAGATTTCTCTAACGTTGTACAGCAATTTAGAGGTACAGATAGGGATACGAAACAGGAATTTAAATTCTAAGCCCTGTAGAATACATACAGTTATAAAATTAGTAAGCAATTTTTAAAGCTTTCCAGTTTTTGAAGCACTGCCAAGTTAGTATAGAGTGTTCCTGTAAGTCCTTCACCGGCTTTCTCTAATGTTAACTTCTTACAAAACTATGGTACAGATGCCAAAACAAGAAATTAACATTGCTACAATACCATTGACTCAACTACACACTATACTAGGCTCTCCCCAGTTTTTCCATTGTCTTATTTCTGTTCCAGGGCCCTGTCCTGGACATCACATTGCATTTAATTGTTACATCTTCTTACTTCGTTTCCTCTGATCTGAAAGTTTCTTGGTCTTTCTTTGTTTTTCATGAACCTGAGACTTTTAAAGATGACTAGTAAGTTATTTTGTAGAACATCTTTTTTTTTTTAATCAAGAGCTTTTCATTTTTTATAACAAGGAACAATATCCTCATTTTATCATTATCAGGACAGAAATGGAGATAAGTAATTATATGCATGTTAGCTGTGTAAACATATCAATGTTAATTACTTCCCCAACTCTATAAATAAGTTTTCTATCATCTGTTTTTTATTTCATAAAGCAGTTTTTCTTTGAACTTCTTTCCAGACTTAGAAAGGAGAACTAGGCAAATGAATTCTTTCAGGGATAAATGAAGCTTACTAAATTGATTAATCTTCATATTTTTCCTAAGGCACATTCTCCATTTCTTATCTGTAACCAAAATATTTTGTGAAACATTCCAACACACCCTCATTCCTAGAGAATGTTTATACCAGCGACTATTGAATTCTCATACAGATCAATAGGAAGGTTTTAAGTGAAACAAAAGCTTTTCCACCTAAGGTCAAATTTAGTGATCTCTGAGTGAAGAATTTCTGAATTGCTAGATTATAATCACCGTCCAACCACCATCATTAGTATCATCATAATTACTTCTTTTTAAAAAAAGACTATATTCCATTTACAGTTATTATCAAATACTGGTTACATTACCTGTGTTGTACAATGGTTCCTTGTAGCTTATTTTAAAAACCATAGTTTGTACCTCTTAATCTCCTACTTCTTTACTGCCCTCCCTCCTTCCCTCTCCCCACTGGTAACCACTATATTTGGTACACCTATTTTCACTAGAGTTTTTCCTGATGATTTTTCATGATTCAACTGAGGTTTTGGGTGATGGAACCTTCTAATTGCATTAAATCTGGGAGCACATGATATTGACATGGCTTATTACTGGTTATATGAACCTTGGTCACTTGGTTAGAGTGATGTCTGCTAGCTCTCTTCACTGTAAAGTTACTATTTTTCTGCTTTCCATATTCTATTCATTAGAAGCAGGTAACTTCAGCCCTTCTCAAGGGCAGGGCGATTAAGCTCTATCTCCTTAAAGGATGAGGAGTGAAGAACCTGTGGACATATATTAAACCTACCTCAGTAATTAATCTGGATGTGGGTGGGTAAGGGGAGAAAACACACTTTGAGGCTATGCAAACAACCTGTTTCTCTTTAAAGTTTGACCCAGTAATTTTATCATTTTATTTATTTATTTTTGAGAGTTATATTTTATTACAATGTAAGCCCAGGACACAGGACTCTCAGATCACTTTGAGGGACTGCTCTGAAGAGGCAAGGGGGCATCCAGTAATTTTAGCATTCATCATTGGCTCTTGCCTATAGCAGTTACAACTGTGGAATTCTAATGGTGATTTTCTATTTCCTTCGTTCTTTCAATATTTATTAATTGGAATCCTCTGCAAGGAAGATCAAGGGAGCAAATTTTTTACCTGATTTAGATGCCCCATAAATGGCAATATGAAGAGATTCAAGGTACCATGAGTATTGATATAAATTTACATTATTATTATTGAAGAATATAATTAAAGGTACTTAATGAAAGATTCCGGGCTTCTCATGGAGGCAAGAACCATGTATTTTAGAAAATGCTATACCTTTAACTGTGACAGAAATGGTATGATGGATGGCTCCTAATGCATTTTTTGCTATACACTGGTAATTTCCAGAGTCTGCTTCTGTAACCTGGACGATTTGCAGAGTCTTCTTAAAGTTCCTATAAAATGTCCGGTTGATGGGGAGTGTTCCATCTTCTTTTATCCAGTAAATAATTGGGGTAGGCCTGATAAGGTAAACAGAAAATAGAATCATGAAAAAAAATTCACCTGTTTTTAAAGGTGAATTTTCATGCAAGTTTGTCACAAACATAAAGATCATGAGGAACAGATCAATATTTTAAGTAGCACCCCACTTCTATTAATCAATGCTCAAAACCTTACACTTCAGTCTGTAAGTTACCATTTTCACACAAGCAGAACTGTGCTAAGTGATAGAACACTGTGAACTCTGACTTCAGGGATCTCTGGAGAATGGCAGTGAGACTTACTTGACTGAAGGGACCTGATTATTACCTTCAAAGTTCTGATCAAGGAGACACTCTTGGAAAATTTTGCATGACTACACTATATCAATCAAAAGAATGACCATGAAATTAATGACACCGAGTTACAATTTTCTAAAAAACTTTTTTTAAAAAATGTGGGCCATTTTTAAAGTCTTCATTGAATTTTTGTTCTAATATTTATTCTGTTTTTATGTTTTGGTTTTTTGGTCATAAGCCATATAGGATCTTAGCTCCCTGAACCCATACCCCTTGCACTGTTAGCTACTAGACTGCCAGGGCAGTCCTTCAAGTTACAATTTTTTAATCAGCCAGACTTAAAAAGGTTAGAGAAAGGTTAGAGAAAGAAGAAAGGTTAGAGAAAAGCTAACTTTAAAAAGGTTAGTTTTTGTGCCCATAAACTTCTATACATATTTCCATACCAAATGGAAGAATCTCCCTATCTTATAACAGGCTATCTGATGATGTGAATGAAGTGATTAGAGGAATTGTGCTGTTATTTTAATTTCATTATTAGTGATATTTTAAAACATTATATCAATTGATAGAGGTAGGCCCAACTCACATGTTACTTAAACCATTTCTCACCTATGTTTCTTATTAAATCATGAACTACAGAGATAGATGAAAAATCAGACTTAGGCTTAGAGTTAAAAAGATCTGCTTCAAAATCCCAGCCCTACTCCTAAACTGCGCTCTGATTTTGGATCTCTGGGCTTTTGGGGCCTCAGTTTCCTCCACTGCCTTTATGGAGACAATAATGCTTGTTTTGATCTGGTGACCTGAGAAGGTTTTCATGAGGGTAAAATGAAAAACCATTCAGTATATTTGCTAAGCACTAAACTATAGATTCCCTGGAGCCGGGCATGGCAACCCACTCCAGTATTCTTGCCTGGAGAATCACCATGGGCAGAGGAGCCTGGTGGGCTGCAGTCCATGGGTTCCCAGAGTCAGACACAACCGAGTGACTAAGCACAGCTCGGCACTATAGAGCAGGGCTCCCCAGGGGGCGCAGCGGTAAAGAGTCTGCCTGCCAAAGCAGCAAACCCAAGAGACAGGGGTTCAGTTTCTGGGTTGGGAAGATCCCCTGGAGAAGGAAATGGCAACTCACTCCAGTATTGTTGCCTAGACTATCCCATGGACAGAGGAGCCTGGTGGGCTGCAGTTCGTGAGGTCACAGAGCTGGACACGGCTGAGCACGCACACACAAACACAAACTATAGGTCAAGCATTAAGTTGTGTGTTGGGAAGATAAAAAAAAAAGAATGGTCCAGGCCCTCAGGAAGAACACAATATTTATCATTAGAAATACTAGTGGGATTAATGGGTTGTAGAATTGTTTTTGTTTGTTTACTTGAGTAAAAATAACTGAACAGATACACTTGATGAACTGTCATGAGTAGTGTTATTTCTTGACATGGCCAGCAGGGGCCTCCATGTGTCTCCAGAGGTATTAAAATTTTTCCTGGAGGCTGATTCTGGGCTTCTAGGAAGGAATGTGATACTAGGAGCCACCAGGTCAAGGACAGCACAGATCACAACACAACACAACGTGTTTCTGAGAGTCCAGTCAATGTTCCAGCAAATGTGCCTTATCAATGGTACTTACTCTATGCCAGGCATGAGAGGAAAGTATTCAGAAGCTTGCCTCCAGCGTTTCCCTAACATAACAGCTGTTCCTGCAGCTGAGCGGAGGCTTCCCTGGGACTCTTCTCAAGGGCACATGGGTTCTGGGGGTGGTATCAGTTTTGAAGTGTGCATAGATGAGACAGGGCTTCCCTGGCGACTCAGATGGTAAAGAATCCACCTACAATGTGGGAGACTTGGGTTCGAGCCCTGGGTTGGGAAGATCTCCTAGAGAAGGACATGGCAACCCACTCCAGTATTCTTGCCTAGAGAATTCCCATGGACAGAGGAGACTGGCAGGCTACAGTCCATGGGTCACAAAGAGTTGGACATGACTGAGTAACTAAGCGTACACATAGATGAGACAGCTGCAAAGAAGCTGGTCTGGTGACCAGCGCTAGGAGGTAGAGGATGGGACAGCAGGCCAGTGTCAAGGCTATGCTCTAAGAGGCTGAATGAGCTTCCGCCATTAGGAGAATAAGCCAGAGCTCGATTGCCTGGAAGGATGTGAAAAATTCATGACCAAGATCTCCACTGCCCTACTAACAGCCAGGAGACCCAGAGCTGTGAACCCATAGCTGAGCTGCTCAGAAGATGCATAAGCAGGCTCAAATGAAATCAGTCAGATCCAGCCCTGTTAAGGCACAACTGCTCTGCATACTTGTAGACAAATCATCAATGACAAACAGCTATTGGTCGTAAGCCTCTAAGTTTTGAGATGATCTGTTAGACAACAGTAGCAAAATAATAAGCTTAATTACAATTATAACAATCATAAGGTGATTACTGACACATTTCTAAAGGAACATTTCCATTAACAAAATATTTTCATAATACAAAATAACACATGGCCCATTTTGGAAGTAATCATCACATTTTCCTTGATTGCTTAATGGAGTCTCTATCAATGATTCCTGCTATGATACAATATTAATGTCTCTCTACCCATCTACTATGTTTATATAAGAAATGGACATCAAAACAGACAGTGTTAACTCACAGCCCTTCTGCAATGCACTCAAGGGAAAGGACATTTCCTCTTAATTCCTCTTTGCGACTTGTATTGCCGTCTGGAGTTAAAAATGCTGGTGGCCTCTGTCTATGTGATTTAGCTGCAAACAAGAAGATCAATATGCATTCAAAGTAAGAATATGGATTTCTAGAAGAGCAGTTCACTGTCTAAAAATCTAATCCCTTTTCAAATCCATTTGCCATTGATTATGAGATTTGCTAAACAAACACATACATACTCCTTGCCTTATAAATAGCCATCACTTACTCAGTTGGCCAGAAGTAGAAACTACTTTGGTTGCATAAGCACTAATAATGAGGACTATTTTCCACTGTATATTTTCCTAATTTGGGTTAGGGTTCTATGTATTTTTGGTGGGTTGGTAAAGTTTCAAAATGTAGACATAGAGAGGAAAATTTATGTTATCAAATTATCTATCACTCAAGATGAGTACTCAGGTCAAAGGGAAAATGAGCTGTCTATTTTCTGGAATATGTTAGGTTTTTCTGAAGGATATGACAATGGACAAAGTTTTTTGGTTTACCCTAGGGACAACATTATAGTCAATTCCATTGATTAATCATGAAGATAAATCATGGCGGACATATAATATATCAAGATACCCAAATTGCGAGGTTTACAGAAAACAAAACAAAACTAGAAAGTGACTGGCAGAGGTCTGGCAAATGTGTGCCATGGATTATGGGTGAAGTTAAAGAAATTAAAATTGGTTTCACCAATGAAAAAATAAATAAAGAGGGCTCAAGTCAGAGATCTCAGGGAGGGATTATATATATATATATATATATATATATATATATATATATATATATATATAGAGAGAGAGAGAGAGAGAGAGAGAGAGAGAGACTACCTTCATGTTTCATGAAGAAAAAACCTATGGAGACCTGGCCTAAATGTGTCCTTATCCTCTGGTGGCATCTCAGAAGAACTTAAAGTAGAAATCCTACCATCTTGAGATTCTAAGAGCACTTTAAGAGTGTGCAACACTTTAATGTGTTATCTAGTTGATGCTCATAAAAACTGAAAAAGTAATATATAAATTATCATCACTTCTCAGAAGAAAAAGCTGAACACCAGAAAAGGTATTACTGAAGACAAATTAGAGTTTTCCTTAGATTTTAGAGATGGTGGAGGAAACCTTACTCCTTTGAAAAATCACTTTGAAAGTGATTTTGAGGTTCATATTTCTCAGGAGTATTTTAATATAAAATAAAATAACATGAAATAAGGTAAAAATAAAATAAAAGTAAGGCAGGAGTTATGGTATGTTACTCTGGCCACTGGTAGTACCTTAGTGCTTTTTTACTTCATATTTCAAGGGTAAAAAATTAGTACAGCAGAAATTTGAGCTTATGGATAATTTAAGAGGACCCCATATTCAGAACCCATAATTTTCATTCATAGACTCTACATTTGAGATCCATGTTTCCCTCCCTTAAGGAAATAAAATTCTTATCCTTTCAAAAGAATGATGTTAAATCTATTTTTAAAAGATTATTTCCACTGAAGATAATGTCTTGATTTTAAACTAAACTAAGAGAAATACTATTTCTAATTATATGACATTGATAAGGTCATGTGAAAACAGACGGAAAATACAATGCTTTCCTCTCAAAATATGGTTAATGTTAGTTGCTAAAGGTTATTAAGACTTTGATGTTAGTAGTTTAGCAGGTTAATGTACCTTGCCAATTCTTACTAATCTATGAGAAAAGTTTATGAGCCAGACAAAAAATGAAAAATGTAATTCTGAACATATATGAAAGATTTTTTTCAAATTTTGTGGGATGATTCTTTACATGAGAACAGTTATAGTAACTTTTGTTATTACACATACAACATGGAACATGTTTTAATGACATGTTTGAGAGCTCAAAGCTAAATTTATATGAAACATACATTGATTCTAGTGGTATTAAACATGTAACTAGGAATTTCGTAAAGAAATAAGGTTAAACAGCCATGGAGGTGAAGTTAGTGAACTAAATTCTACAATGAAGAAGAAATACCAGTTACAATCAATCACCAAAACTCACCACCATAAAACTCAGTGTCACTCAAATTAGCAGCTATAGTGTCATTCAATTCATCCACTGAAATAAACAGAATATTATGAAGAATGCAAAAAGAAGGGGAGAGAGAATTGTAAAAGAAAAAAAAAAAAGAAAAGTACTGGGCAACAAAACATAAACCACTATGCTGACCAAGTGCTATCCCAACCTAGTAAAAACAGTACTTTACATTGTACATGACTATTGCATTAATTCACTGAGCCACCCCCAACCAGTAAGATAGGAACATATAACCGAAGCTGCAGGACTCCCAGTTAATGGCATTGTGGAGCATAAACCACAAGCAAGTGCTCAGAGCACTAAGAGCTGGATTGGCCAAAAAGTTCATTCAGGCTTTTCCGTAACATCTTACTAATGTTTTGGCCAAACCAGTAGATTCAGGAAGTTATCATAGAAACAATAATGGTAATAACAGTAAAAACTGTAAAATACAGTAAAGTAAGCAAGCTTTCTAGAATACACATGCCAACACTTTCATGACTACTCACAGGTACATCCCTGATCAATGAATCTGTTTACTTCAAAGTGAGTGGTATTTAATAATTGACATACTTGCACACATCTGTAAATAACATTGCAAGGGAGTTTCTGGAAATTGAGCTCTTACCTGAAATCACCTTAACAGAAATTGGTTGCTTCTGCTGTATGGTTTGAGTGTGATTAAACCTGGCGTAACAGATGTAGTCTTCCCGGGTGTCCTCCGGGAGCACGTTGGAAAAGTAAAGGTCTCCATTCAGACCTTGGGAAACTCTCTCACTCTGTGGAAGTCTCTGAAAGGCTGGAGAACGGCAGAGAGATATCTAGATCATTCCATCACAAAGGGGTCACTTTCCAAATTAGCAAGATAACTGTATCTACTAATAAACAGTCCTGTGAACTTCACTTGCATCTATTTTTTTCCTCTATAAAACTCTTTTGAGTAAAAGCAAATAATTGCAAAAAGAAAAGACATATGTATTAAAATTCCAACTGTACCTGCCAGATCCTAACTTCTCTAGAGTGGGGGCAGAGGTGAGACTAAAGTTGCCCAGTGAAGGGTTTTAGAAAACAAGCGTAAACCAAAAAATGTTTTATGGAAAGAGTTTGTGTGACTTTTCCTAACCTTTAAGTTAATCCCTAAGTACCAGACCACCTGGCCTGCCTCTTGAGAAATCTGTATGCAGGTCAGGAAGCAACAGTTAGAACTGGACATGGAACAACAGACTAGTTCCAAATAGGAAAAGGAGTGCGTCAAGGCTGTATATTGTCACCCTGCTTATTTAACTTATATGCAGAGTACATCATGAGAAACGCTGGGCTGGATGAAGCACAAGCTGGAATCAAGATTGCCGGGAGAAATATCAATAACCTCAGATATGCAGATGACACCACCCTTATGGCAGAAAGTGAAAAAGAACTAAAGAGCCTCTTGATGGAAGTGAAAGAGGCGAGTGAAAAAGTTGACTTATAACTCAACATTCAGAAAAATAAGATCATGGCCTCCAGTCCCATCACTTCATGGCAAATAGATGGGGAAACAGTGGCAGACTTTATTTTTTGGGGCTTCAAAATCATTGCAGATGGTGATTGCAGCCATGAAATTAAAAGATGTTTACTCCCTGGAAGAGAAGTTATGACCAACCTAGACAGCATGTTAAAAAGCAGAGACATTACTTTGTCAACAAAGGTCTGTCTAGTCAAAGCTATGGTTTTTCCAGTAGTCATGTATGGATGTGAGAGTAGGACTATAAAGAAAGCTGGGCGCCAAAGAATTGATGCTTTTGAACTGTGGTGTTGGAGAAGACTTTTGAGAGTCCCTTGGACTGCAAGGAGATCCACCCAGTCCATCCTAAAGGAGATCAGTCCTGGGTGTTCATTGGAAGGACTGATGTTGAAGCTGAAACTCCAATACTTTGGCCACCTGATGCGAAGAACAGACTTACTGGAAAAGACCCTGATGCTGGGAAAGATTGAAGGTAGGAGGAGAAGGGGACGACAGAGGATGAGATGGTTGGATGGCATCACCGACTCAATGGACATGAATTTGGGTAAACTCTGTGAGTTGGTGATGAGCAGGGAGACCTGGCGTGCTGCAGTCCATGGGGTCGCAAAGAGTCGGACACGACTGAGCGACTGTACTGAACTGAACTGAACGAGTATTAGTCACAGACACACACATATCTCGGAAAATGCATTATGGAAGCTTATAAGAATGTTAACTTGGGTTGCGTCTACATACACAGTCAGACACTCAGTACTGTGAGAGCACCTAATGGTGATGGCCTGGGCCCTGGACAAAGTGTCAGACGGACCAAGGTCGCTGCCTTGTCTGAGTCCAGGATAGGGATCTAACTGGAGAATCAGGCAGCAAACAGGCAATTAACAACAGGGTGCAGTATTGATTTAAGATGCAGATGTGCCCCTCAGAGGGCCCCATACCCAGCCTCCCTCACCTCCTCTATTTTGTCTTTTCTGTGTTACCAATTACTTTCTAACATACAGTGTGTTTTACCTGTCGGGTGTATGGCTCATAGCCCATCTCCCTGAACTAGAATTTAAGATCCAGAAGGGCAGAGACCGTCATCTGCTTGGGCTACTATTGTAGCCCTGAAAATGCACTTGGTCCCTCATAGAATCTCTGTAATTAAATGAGTTTCAAGCAGCACTGGGACTTCCCAGTTTCACATTTAACAACAGACTTCCCCTCAGGTCCAGGGAAATGTCTAGCCTTAGGAAAGTAGGGGTGATTTTCTAAGGAGACGAAGGACTCAGGGAAGTGGGACCACTGATCTATGTGTGAACTTACACTTGGCTGGCTAGCATGCCTCCTGAGGCTTCTGACTCAGTTCACTGGAAGAGTGCTTCAGCTCTGAAGTGAGAGAACTAGGAAAAATCGCACCTCTCAGTTGCCTCCGGCCAAGTGTTAACATCTCCTGGGAGGAGGATTTCTCAGTCTAAGTAAAGCAGCTACGTTCCTCCAGCAGCAGGTACCCTACGCAATCATCATGAAATGCAAAGTGATGGGTAAAAACCTGCAGCTCCCTGGGGTGGCAGAGGGCAGGGAAATCTGGAGACAGACTTCGAAAGGATGCCAGTTAACCATGTGAGCCAAGTTCGTGGTCAAGGTGGGGGTTTGGTTGGTGGCTGTAAATTCATGCTTTGAAGTCACTAACCAGGGAAAGAGTTGTTTTAAAAAATAACTCAGAAAAATAATGTATGTTTATTTTATGAATACAAAGATATATAAAGATAGGGATATATTTATCTTCTTTCATTTCTCCTGCTGTATTTTCTTGTGGATTAGTGTTGGGGATCAAATGAAAGGGAATGGGATTTTATGAGGGTGGGAACACTTTGCCCATTGAATTCCTTTGCATTGCACTGGGGAAAAAATGTATGCAGATAGGAATAATTTGATAAGGTCATCTTGCCAGGAGAAAGCTACACATATCTGAATTTTTTTCTCATACCCAGATGCAAGTTCATTTGAAAAATCCAGATGCATTGTCAACGGCCTAAAATGTATGGAAATGACATAACGAGCAGTGCAATATGAAAAAAAAATTTAGTTTCGTATTCAGATAATCCTGAGACTTCACATGTAAACATCTCTTTATTAAGCAGAAAAGTCATCATTTCTGAATAAGAAGCAAAAACCAATTACTGGGCTTCACTTTGGCAGTGAGATTTGGATTCTGTTCTTCTAAACCATAGATATCACTCAGTTCTACTTGATTTGTTACTTATGCTTTCAAAATCTATAAGTTATTACATAATCGTATGAAAAATATTTTTGTCCATTTATCCATTTATATATATATATTTTCCACTTCTCTGTGATATTTTCTCTGAGTGATCTCATATAAGAGTCAAAAATGGAAAGGAAATGTGAAAGCTAAATTTTATCTTCTGTAATGTGAACAGCTTGTGATTTCAGAGGAAATCAAGTCACTGAGAATAGAATGTATCCCCCACAAGTATTTTCAACCCTTCCCACCATTCTACCCAGAGGATTCCTGTCAAGGACAACGGTGACCCCCATGTTGCCAAATTCAATAGTTATTTCTCGTTCAGATTGGAAGCTGTCTCATCTCTCAGCAGTGTTTGAAACGACTGATGTTCTGTCTTCTTGGTGCTTTTTCTTCCCCTTGTTCTGGGGCCACCTCCTCTCTGTGTTCTTCTTGCTGAAGCCACTGATCTTTTTCATCTGCTCCTCTTTGCTCCCTGAAGCTCTGGCCCCAGGAGGTTCCTGGTCTCAGCCCCCAGGCTGTGTTCTTCACCACCTGCACTCCTTCCTCCAGACTCCGACTCTAAGAAGCATCTCTGCACTAACATTCACGAATGGCTGGAAAGAGCCCTGAATCTTTCTTCTGATTCATGAAGCTCTAACTCTTCCTGGACACCTTCACAAGGATGCCTCCCAGGCTTCTTGCATTCAAAACCTCGGTTCCTAGTCTCCAAGCAGAAACACATGCTACCTCCAAAGTAACATGCTAACGGGAGATTTGGAAGGGTAGGAGAGCAGAGCAACAAACAATCCCCTAAGGTTAGAGAAGGGGTGGACAGATGTTACAGTGATTAATGAATGACTTCATTTCCCTGTGCCTCAGTTCCCTCACCTAAAAAGAGAAGTCATCTGAGTTGCCTCCTGGGACTGCTGTAAAAAATGGACGAGATAACTCATGTAAAGTCTTTAGCCAAACGACAGGCGCTTGGGCATTAAATACCTAAGTAGCTATTGTTACTACAGTACATAAAATAGATAATAAACAAGCATTTACTGTATATAGCACAGGGAACTGTGCTCAGTACTCTGTAATAACCTAAATGGGAAAAGAATTTGTACATGTATAACTGAGTCACTGGGCTGTATACCGGAAACTAACACAACACTGCAAATCAACTATATTCCAATATAAGATAAAAAATTAACTAAAAAATATTAGCTGTTACTGGGGATAAAAAAAACAAAAACAATAAAAAGACACAACACATTCTGAACAGTTTTATTTCCTTTCCTCCAGGGCTTCTGCTGTTTCAGGAAAGGGCAACTGCATTTTACCAGTTGTTCAGTCAGTCTTTGGGGTTACCTTTGATTCTGCTCTCTCATGCCTTCATCATGACCCCAATAAATCCTGGAAGAAACTCTGAAATTATATTTGGGATCTGACTATTTCTTACCCACTCGACTACTACTACCCAAGTCAGAGTTCCCATCAACTCTTGTCCAGATCTCAGCACTGGCCTCCTAACAGGCTGCCCTTCTCTTCTTTCTGTCCTCTCTATTCTCCAGGCATGAACCGAAGTGATGTTCATACTATCTGATCTGTGTCAGGTGAAGCCACTCCTTCAGTGGCTCCCTACTTCATTAAAGCAAAAGCCAAAGTCTTATGCACTGAGCCCCTGAACTTTCCTGACCTCTTCTCTGCCTTGGGTTAGTCAGCCTTGCCACACTGGCCTCCCTGCTGCTTTAACACACACCAGGGATGCACCTGTCCTTGGGGCTTTACTGATTTTCTCTTTCCACCCAGATAGTGTAGGTCTGTATGCTCTTTCATTCCTATAAGTCTCTGCTCAAAATTCTGCCTATTTTTGTCCATAGCACTTACTGTCAACCAATGCATATTTTCTAAATACACTTATAGTCTGCTTCTTTCTCTCCTTCCTTTTATTCCCACTGCAATGAATATAAATTCTGTGAGAGCAAGACCTTTGGTTTATTTAGAGAGGCACCTGGTACATGGTAGTTCAGTTCAGTTACTCAGTTGTGTCCAACTCTTTGTGACCCCATGGACTGCAGCACGCCAAGCTTCCCTGTCCATCACCAACTCCCAGAGTCTGCTCAAACTCATGTCCATTGAGTCCGTGAATCCACTTAACCATCTCATCCTCTGTCATCCCCTTTTCCTCCTGCCTTCAATCTTTCCCAGCATCAGGGTCTTTTCCAATGAGTTAGTTGTTTGCATCAGGTGGCCAAAGTATTGGAGTTTCAGCCTCAGCATCAGTCCTTCCAATGAGTACTCAGGGCTGATTTCCTTTAGGATTCACTGGTCTGATTTCCTTGCAGTTCAAGGGATTCTCAAGAGTCTTCTCCAACACCATAATTCAAAAGCATAAATTTTCTGGCACTCAGCTTTCTTTATGGTCCAACTCTCACATCCATACATGACTATTGGAAAAACCACAGCTTTGACTATATGGACCTGTGTAGTAAAGTAATATCTCTACTTTTTAATATGCTGCCTAGGTTGGTCATAGCTTTTTCTCTAAGCAGCAAGCATCTTTTAACTTCATGGGTGCAGTCACCATCTGCAAAGATTTCAGAGCTCAAGAGAATAAAATCTGTCACTGTTTCCATTGTTTCCCCATATATTTGTGATGAAGTGATGAGACCGAATGCCATGATCTTCATTTTTTGAATGTTGAGTTTTAAGCCAGCTTTTTCACTCTCCTCTTTCACTTTCATCAAGAGGCTCTTTAGTTCCTCTTTGCTTTCTGCCATTGAGGTGGTGTCATCTGTATATCTGAGGTTATTGATATTTCTCCCAGCAATCTTGATGCCAGCTTGTGCTTCATCCAGCCCAGCATTTCTCATGATGTACTCTGCATAAGTACTCTGTTATATAAGCAGGGTGACAATATACAGCCTTGATGTACTCCTTTCCCAATTTGGATCCAGTCCATTGTTCCTTGTCCAGTTCTAACTGTTCCTTCTTGACCTGCAAACACATTTCTCAGGAGGCAGGTAAAGTGGTCTGGTATTTCCATCTCTAAAAATTTTCCAGTTTGTTGTGATCCACACAGTCAAAGGCTTTATGGTAGTCCATAGAAGCAGAAGTAGATGTTTTTCTGGAATTCTCTAGCTTTTTCTATGATCCAATGGATGTGGCAATTTGATTTCTGGTTCCTCTGCCTTTTCTAAATCTGTTTGAACATCTGGATGTTCTCAGTTCACGTACTATTGAAGCCCAGCTTGGGGAAGTTTGAGCATTACATTGCTAGCATGTAAGATGAGTGCAATTGTGAAGTAGTTTGAACATTCTTTGATACTGCCTTTCATTGGGATTGGAATGAAAACTGACATTTTCTAGTCCTGTGGCCACTGCTGAATTTTCCAATTTTGCTGGCATATTTAGTGCAGCACTTTCACAGCATCATCTTTTAGGACTTGAAATAGCTCAACTGGAATTCTATCACCTCTACTAGCTTTATTCGTAGGATGCTTCCTAAGGCTCACTTGACTTTGCACTCCAGGATGTCTGGCTGTAGGTGAGTGATCACACCATCGTGATTATCTGGGTCATTAAGATCTTTGTTGTATAGTTCTTCTGTGTATTCTTGCCACCTCTTCTTAATATCTTCTGCTTCTGTTAGGTCCATACTGTTTCTGTCCTTTATTGTGCCCATCTTTGCATGACATGTTCCCTTGGTATCTCTAATTTTCTTGAAGAGCTCTCTAGTCTTTCCCATTCTATTGTTTTCCTCTATTTCTTTGTATTGATTACTTAGGAAGGCTTTATTATCTCTCCTTGCTATTCTTTGGAACTCTTCATTCAGATGGATATATCTTTCCTTTTCTCCTTTGTCTTTAGCTTCTCTTCTTTTCTCAGCTCTTTGTAAGGGCTCCTCAGACAACCATTGTGCCTTTTTGTATTTCTTCTTCTTCACTGCTTCTCATACAATGTTATGAATTGCCTTCCATAGTTCTTTAGGCACTCTATCTACCAGATCTAATCCCTTCAACATACTTGTCACTTCCAATGTATAGTCATAAGGGATTTGATTTAGGTCATACCTGAATGTTATAGTGTTTTCCCCTATTTTCTTCAATTTAAGGCTGAATTTTTCAATAAGGAGTTCATGATCTGAGCCACAGTCAGCTCCCAGTTTTGTTTTTGCTGACTGTATAGAGCTTCTCCATCTTTGGCTGCAAAGAATATAATCAATCTGATTTTGGCATTGATCATCTGGTGATGTCCATGTGTAGAGTGGCCTCTTGTGTTATTGAAGGAGGGTGTTTGTGATGATCAGTGCATTCTCTTGGCAAAAGCCCGTTAGCCTTTATCCTGCTTCATTTTGTACTCCAAGGCCAAACTTGCCTGTTACTCCAGGTATCTCTCAACTTCCTACTTTGCATTTCAGTCCCCTATGATGAAAAGGACATCTTTTTTGGGTGTTAGTTCTAGAAGGTCTTGTAGGTCTTCATAGGACTGTTCAACTTCAGCTTCTTTAGCATTACTGGTCAGGGCGTAGATTTGGATTACTGTGATATTGAATGGTTTGCCTTGGAAATGAACAGAGATCATTCTGTTGTTTTTGAGACTGCACCCAAGTACTGCATTTTGGATGCTTCTGTTGACTATGAGGGCTACTCCATTTCTTCTAAGGGATTCTTGTTTGGTCCCACCCATTAGAACAAGACCCAGATTCCCCCACAGCCAGTCCCTCCCATTAGGAAGCTTATACAAGCCTCTTATCCTTATCCATCAGAGGGCAGACAGAATGGAAACCACAATTACAGAAAACTAACCAAACTGATAACTTGGATCACAGCCTTGTCTAATTCAATGAAACTATGAGTCATGCCGTGCAGGGCCACCCAAGACTAACATGGAGAATTCTGACAAAATGTGGTCCACTGGAGAAGGGAATGGCAAACTGCTTTAGTATTCTTGCCTTGAGAACCCCATGAACAGTATGAAAGGCAAAAAGATAGGACATTGAAAGATGAAATCCTCAGATCAGTAGGTGCCCAATATGCTACTAGAGAAGAGTGGAGAAATAGCTCTAGAAAGAGTGAAGAGGCTGAGCTAAAGCAAAAACAATGCCCAGTTGTGTAGGTGACTGGTGATGGAAGTAAAATCCAATGCTGTAAAGAACAATTTTGCATAGGAACCTGGAATGTTAGGTCTATGAATCAAGATAAATAGGTACATAGTAGGTGTTCAATAAAACAGAGCCAGTGACTGAAATGATATGTGATGTTTTCCTGAGCATCTCTAAAAAAATTTATAAACATCTTATGAATCACAGGAGGTAATCATTGATTGGGATAGCCAATAATCATAAGACTCTTGAAGAAAGTTCATATTTTTAAAACTTACAATTATCCATCCAGAATATTATGGGTGGTGGTAACCCAATTGGTGGTCTGCAGGGAAGGACCAAAGACTGGCCATTTCGAAGTGTTATTGGTTCAAGCTTTTCTTTGGTCCACAACGGTGACCCTAATAAAATAAAATAACAACTTTTAAGTTATTTATGCACTGGAAAACAGAAAAAGCACTGGAAAGAAAGATAAACCAAACTTGTAGAGAAATACTAACTTGGAATTTATGGAAATTAAGATAACAAATTTTTCAAAAAATGACACTCATAGTATAAGTTCTGAGTCAGCAAGTCCATGTCTAAGAATTTACATTAAATAAATCCTTGAAGATACATAATGATTTTGTTAAAAGCATGCTTTTCACAAAAGAACAAAAAACACTTATATATGTAAAAATATTTGTGAAAGAAATAATGGTAAACCTATACTTTTGAATAAAATAGTGTTAGATGTATAAAGACAGTTAGATAATAAGTACAAGATTAATATAATATGCATGATATGTAGATAAGCCAAAAAGATTACAAAATAGTACTTCAGAATGAGTTTGTTTTCAATATGTATACACATATCTTCCTGAGTAAAACCATAAAAAACAGTTATTTCCTTGAATGAAAGGATTTGTGCACAATTTTTATGTTTCTTTTTCATTCATTTGTAGTTGATTTGTTCTACAAAGTATACATATTATACACATAATTGAAAAAAGCTTTAAAAATGGCCAGACCTTCAAATGGTCACTGTTCTTTAAATACATGCTCTTGGGGTTGTTGAGAGGATGTACTGACTATTGCAAAGAGACTATTGCAATAATATCAAGATAACAAGGCCACTCTGTTTCCAGTGAAATTTTGATATAAAAATGTTTAAAGAAATATATGCACCCTAATGTTCCTATTCATAGCAACATTATTTATAATAGCCAAGATATTGAAGCAACCTAAGTGACCATCAACAGATGACTGGATAAAGAAGGTGTGTGTGTGTGTGTGTGTGTGTGTGTGTGTGTGACATACAATGAAACATTGGGCTTCCCTGGGGCTCAGATGGTAAAGAATCTGCCTGCAATGCAGGAGACCTAGGTTCAACCCCGGGTCAGAAAGATTCCCTGGAGAAGGGAATGGCTACCCACTCCAGTAATCTTGTCTGGAGAATTCCTTGGACAGAGGAGCCTGGCAGGCTATAGTCCATGGGGTTGCAAAAGTCAGACATGACTGAACAACCAACACTTTCACTTTCACATGATGGAATATTACTCAGCCATAAAAAAGAATGAAAATTTGCCACCTGCAGCAACATAGATGGACTTGTAGGGCACTGTGATAAGTGAAATAGGTCTGTTTGTACAGAGAAAGACAAATAGATGATATCATTTATACACAAACTAGTGGTTCCCAATGGGAACAGGGAAGAGGAGGGGGGCAATATAGGAGAAAGGAGTTAAGAACTACAAACTGCTGTGTATAAAATAAGTTACAAGGATATATTACATAACACAGGAAATATAACCAATTTTTATAATATTTCTAAATGGAGTATAACCTTTAAAATTGTAAATCACTATATTATATACATATAACCTTTATAATAAAGTACATCAACAACATTTCAATTTTAAAATGTTTAAAGAAGTAACACTTATACCTCAATTACCCATTTTATATTGAATTTATCTCCATCTGACTATATGGACTATGCTTGTACATAAGATTCAGGAGAAATTAATAATTAGGTCAATCTGAGGAAGAAGCATTTTTCTTACCCCTGGTGGTTTATTCTGGACTTCTACAAAAGACACACTGGTTTGGCAAAACATTAGGCTGAGGAATTGGGATAAAGTGGAAAAGGGTGATGATTTTCATGCAAAATAAAGTCAGAGTATTGGCATCAATGCCACTGCCTTCTTGTAATGGTTATTTGGATGTTGTAACAGATGCTGGTGTTGGAGCCAGACTTTAAAAAGGGTCCTGTTCAGCGAACAGGTCTGACTTACTGGATGGACGGATGACAATGTTATTAGAAATCGCAGCCCCGCGTTCGTTCCTGGCTGTACACTGATAGACTCCTTCATAGGTCTCTGCTTTCCCCTCGCTCATGATGTTGATTGTGAGGGTTCCTGAGCCAGGCTTCATGGTGACGAGAGGGTCTTTATCTATGTCAAAATGAGTCCCATTTCGGGTCCAGGAAAAGCTGCCAGCACATAGAGGATTAAGCTTGTTAACAGTCCAGAAAAACAGGATTACTTACTCTTTAACAAATTCCTTGTAGTTTTATGAGTTTCTGAATAATTAGACTTTAATATTCAATAAAAGAACTCCATACCTAAAATGTTTCACTGAATCGTGACTTAGAAAAAAGTGCTGACCACACATACTAAGGTACAAGTGTTCATCAGAAGTACCAAAATCTGACTTAATAAAGAAACCATGCATACAAATTGCCTGTCATTTTTCAAAGAAAATACTGTAAGTAGGTCACCAAGGCACACCTTCTTAGAGCTTTATTAGCATTTTTATTATAAACTCCATTGTTTATAGAATTGATAACCTGTCTATAAAACTTTGCTCCAGGGTGAAGTGTAACATGACAGGCCTTTACAAGTACTAATATATGTGTACATTAAAAGTGATCAGACTAGTGTCAAGTTACCACAAGGCAAGGTGTGAGTTGGGAGGAGAGGAAGAAACTTGAAATCAGTGGTATTTTAAATGTCAGGTTTCATTTAAAAAGTGACCATTATATATAAAATATATTTGAGGATTTTTAATCTAGAGATGATTTTGAAAATTTCTGGGAAAGTATTTCAAATTGGCAACTAACTTTTTCAGTTTTTTTTATATAAAATAAATGGCTGCCTTATATAAAAGTCACAGAGGTCATGTAATTAAAGATTTGGTAACTGGTTACAAATGAACAATGGCCATGCTTTTACATAAGTATTCATTTCTAAACTTTTCCGTGATTCCCAAGCCCTCTTGGATTTCCCTTCTCACTGCTTATCCGTTTAGTGGGAGCTGTCACACCTCCTAGGGCAGGAGGTAGTGGGAGTGGGTACTACTGGTTTATGGTAGAGATTAGGGATGCTGTAAAATATCTTACAATGCACAGGAGAGCTCTGCCTCCATAACAAAAAATTATCCAGCCCAAAATATCAATAGAGTTAAGGTGGAGAAATCCTGCCTAACAGGGAGCTATAGGAAGTATTAAGTAAGTGTTAAACTGAAGGGGACACTGTCCATCAAAGGACATTGCATTAGGGCTTAAGCGCTCAAAAGTTTCTAATAATACAGCAGAACAGATTGTTTTTAAGCCAGCCTTTGATGGAAATTTTTGATATCCTTAGGTATTTACTGCCAGTTAATTTTTTTCTCTGGTGCCAGTCTGTGATAGATTAGTAAGGCTGGTCATAGACAAACTCATAAATACAATACTGAGAAAATCTCCTGTCTATTTTATAACTTTAAAAATTCTACATTATATGTCCATAATAATCATCCAACTCTTGAAAACTTCCAAATATTACTGGACAAGTTACAGATCACCCACTAAGGAGGTGTGGAACCTGGATAAGGTTACATAACATTATCAGGCATCAATTTTCCCTCTATAAAATATATTGGTTGGACAAGATAATGTTTAATGTTTCTCCCAAGTCTAAAATGCTCTGCAGTGCTTATGCCAAGATGCATATGAAGCGTTCTGAGTGTTGAACTCTGCCATGTTTGGAAAACCACTTGGGACTATTTTATAGACTTTGAGAGAGCTAGAAGAGATCTTAGAAGTTGTGTAATTCAGATTCTTTATTTTATAGATAAAGACACTGAGGCCCATAGAGAAGGAATTTGCCCATGTCACAGGCTGTCAGAAGGTTCTTTTGACATCTTCCCACAATTTTTTAGCATGTCATACAGAAAAGTATCAGTATGGAAATGCAACCACCTGGGTTTTTAGGAAGAACCAACTGAATTTAATTAAAAGCAGAGAGACAAAACAATGAGCCTACAAATGACACCTTAATAATAGGTGAAAGTGTGAAAGTGAAAGTGTTTGTCGCTCATTCTCCAGGGGAGAATACTGGAGTGGGTTGCCATTCCCCTCTCCAGAGGATTTTCCTTACCCAGGGATCAATCAATGCCTCTTTTCAGTATTACAACATCAGAAAGCACACCTACCTTGGAGGAGGTTTCCCCTTTGCCTCACACTGGATTACAATATTCTCCCGAGGGTCAATAATGTAATCTTTTGGAGACTGTTGAGTGATGGTTGGTGGTTGTACCACTTAATTGTAGAAAGAAGAACAAAGGAGAGAAACAAATTATTTAATATTGTAACAGTAGTCATATTTTTCCTGTATCAAAATCACTTACCCTAGACTAAATACGCTCCAAATGTTTTTAGTAATTTCTCCTGTGGTAACACACAACTCAGCAGATTTTTGGCTAAAAGACTCCTAAAATTTTGGAGTCAAGACATAACTCCCTTTTGGTAACTTCATGTGTTCATAAAGCCCATTTTCCCACACTGAAAGTTTGGGAAATTCATTACAAATATAAGCTTAAAATTAAGATTTTCATTTCTGATGTAACAATGAGAAATTTCTCTGATATCTTTGGTTCAAATGATACCTTTTGATAAAATTTAAGTAACGAGGTAAACTTGCAACTTTCTTAAAAAAGGGTAACTGATTTATAGTTCATTCCTGGGTTCATGTAATTAATACACTGGTAACAAATATATTTGAGAAGCAATGTTAAAAAGATGATTAAATTAGAGACTTGCCATCTTATTAGAGCCAGGAGGAAGGCGCTACTAGGAAGAAAGATAAAACAAGCTTATTTAGAAGGTGAATTGGGAAGCTCTCTGTTATAGGAAACAATATTCTCATTTCAGTCTTCAAAGTGCTATGGGATCATTTATTATCACATTGTAGGAAGAAACTATTCTGACCCAAAATAACTGAATCTGAAAAAAAGCTGGTATCTGGACATTTGATGTTCAAGTCACTCTAAGATTACCATGCCCTCCTTGTGAAATCAGAATCACAGAGTGTAGAACAGGAAGGGAAGGGAGAAATAATCTATTTTGACTTCTGTTGCCTAATGCAGCAAAAGAGCTGGACTTCCTAGGCAAGCAGAGAGAAGCAAAGTGTCCCGGGTACAAGGTAACTACCTTGCACACCTCCAAGGAGAGCTGTTTACACAGACCAATGGTTCTCAATCAAAGGCCATTTGCCCCTACTCCTCGGGGGACAGCTGGTCACATCTAAAGATGATTCTGGCTGTCACCACTGGGGTGGGAGTGGTCCTGGCATCTGGGGGGTAAAGGCCAGGGATGCTGTTAAACATCTTACAGGGTACAGGACAACTTTATAATGTAGAGACTTTGTATTTGGTTCATTTAAGATTTTCATATTTCAGATTGTCCCTTTCCTCTCCAACTATGCTCTCGGTTTCCTTTGTGAAACTTCTTCCACCTGCCAATCAAGTTATTTCCCAAAGCTTCATAACTGTTCTCTGCCTTTGTCTTTCTTTCTTGTGGGGAATTGTGCACATGGCTAAACTGACCACTTCCAGGGCTTAAAAATGTCTTATAAATCTGCAGGCATGATTCTGTTTTCTTTGTCTCCAGTCTTGTGTCTATTGACCAGACAGCTCTTATTAAATATCCAAAGAACACCTAAAATGCAGATCGAAAATGGAACTTGTAATTGCCATCATTTACTGCACACTTGTTAATGGCAGGATACTGCACAGTGTCAATTGCTCCCTTTAGCAAGATCCATCCCCTTCCTTATCCTCCTAAGCCAGCTGCTCCTTTCAGCCTCTAGCACTGTCCAGGGGAGCCTCATCCTTTGCAGCCCAGTCAGTTACCAATGCTGGGTAGCAGTTTGGTCTAACAATTAAGAACTAGTCTGTTTTTTTACCAGCTGTGAGAATTCAAGCAAGATTCTTAACTTCTGTGAGCTCTCATTTCCATAAAGGGAAAATAAGGTTTGAAAGTGGTGTCTACCTCCTAGGGTTGCTGGGAAAATAAAATAAAATTATTTGTGCAAAATTCTTAGTCCATGCCAAACTGTAATGGTTCAGTGATATTACCCATATTTAGATTATTATCATAGTCATTTTTATTTAGACCAGCTTCACTTTGCAGTGATCCTTTAGACTCTGGCAGTATAGAGTCTGGGATGATAGAAAGAAGTTTAGAATTCCCCACTAAGGGATCAGCAGGCATAGGTTGTGGGTAAGGGGGACTTTTAGGAGTGATTCAATCTGATTTCTTGTGCTTTTCTGCGAGTGACAGAGATGCGAGGGTGGTGGTCTCAGACCCAGAACTTAATGCAGCTGGTTTAGCTGCCACAAATCACTGCCAGGAGCTGACCATCAAGATGGAACTCTTTGAACAGTGCTGAGGTCATCGGGCAACCAACAAAGGCTATGAAGTAACAAGGGGAAAAGGTGATTTTATATAATTGTCCTGGTTAATCAAATACCAAAGATTTTTCAAATGCTTGAAAGTTTTTTTTTTTTAGGTAGATGATAGGTAGTGCCCAGCTGTCAGAGGCAGCAGTTTTAGATTAGAGCATGCCACTCAGAAAGGATGTGAGTGGGGGTTGCTTGTCTTTTGTACACTTCCAAACAAGATTCAAACTCTCTGGGCCATTTTACTGATGACATTAAGAAACACTAGTCAAAAAAAAAAAAAGAAACACTAGTCTACCCAGTCCTGCAGACTGAGCAAGTATATGAATGAACTCTGCTGAAGCACCTGCAAGCACTCAACTCCTATCTATATCCAAAGACATGCTTTTATTCCAGCCAGCTTTTAATAGCATTTAGAACCAGACATTCTCTTCCAATTGTATGAGTTTTCTCATTGAGTTACATCAGATGTGAATGAAGCGCAGAAGTTAGTAGAGCAGAATATTGGTAAAAGAAAAACAGTAATACCTGAGTCCAGAATTCATGCAGGGAATATATTCAATCTGCTTCATGGAATTTCATTGCAATACTTAGCCACAGTAAACACACATGCTTAAAATGATGTTAGCCATGAAAATAAAATCGTGCATTTAATTCACAGTATTCATTCAAAAACAAAGACACAGTCAAATTTTCACACTGCCTGGTAATGACCAAAAGACACTTACAGTCTTCAAGAAGTTTTGCTTTTTCCCCATCAATATCAGCAGGTGAGTGGGCGAACAGGATTAAAGAAAACCAGATGTTAGTAATAGGAACGTTAGCACCCTGAAGATAATAGGAGCATCTTGTCTATTTTACTTAACCTAAAAAACCAGCAGAGCAAAGGTAGAGGTGGTGAAGTAGCAAGAGAAAGAAACTTCCATTAAAAGTTTTGTTTATTCCTGAAGCAGTGATTTCTACAGAAACATATGGGAAGGACAAAAGAGATGCTATAGGTCAAAAAAAAGATTCTGCCAGGAATAGGAATGGATAATTCCATGCCATACATGTTGTGCTGGACAAGTAATTATGTTCAATTTGAAAAATAGCTTAAATCTACAATTAATCTGAGTTGTCACATTCTGTGTTGTGTCTGATCCTATTATCCTAGACATCACTATGCACATGGTAATGATACCTAACAATGGGACACTGCCACAAGGACAATGCTCCATCCAAGTCAAATCCAGCACTGATTTGAGGTTTTTGTATTTCCATGGTTAATCCCCATGTTAGTAATTGCACTTTTCAGACTGCTAACATATTTCTGCTTCAGAATGCCTCAGTCTCCGAGGGCTGCTAGTACCTACCCCAAGGTGCAGAAGAGGTGTAAGGAACTGGGGCAGGAAGAAATTGCATTAGCATGCAATTCACATGATTCCGCTGTGCTGCCTGTCATTACTACTTGCAAAGGTTAATGCAGGAGCGCCTGGGTTGTCCGTGACTTTCTTTTCATCATGGTTCTGCCTCTTCTCCATTAGCAGCGATAATTGAGTTAGCCGTAGGTGACTGTTTCCCTCTGATTGTTAGATTCAGCAGTCAGATTAAGGGGGAATATATTTAACACAAGAGAGAACAAAAACATTTCTCTCGATGCTTTTCTCTCTCTCCTATATATCTGCTAGGGCAAATGCTTACTTAGGCATTCAAACTCCAATGGGCTTACCCAATCATATCTTTTTTTTTTTTAATTGAAATTAAGGTCACTGAATGAATATCTTTTGAAAAGAAGTTGAACGTTGCATTTTCTTATACTTTAAAGATGCACAGCAAAGGGAGTCAGCAAAGTATGGGGCCCATCACATCTCTCCTTCCCACTGGCAGTTGCAATCTCTTTGGTTAAAAAAAAAATGACATCACAACAATTGAATTGCCCCAGGAAAGTGTTATTTTCCTTGCACCTTGGAAAGCTTGCCAAACAGATGTTCTATTCAAGAAGCTAATGGATTTAAAGAGGTCATGTAGATTAGGGATAAAGACTAAATCAATTCTGAAGTACAGTAATTATCCAGATTTGAAATTCTGCTTTCCATTGCAGGAAAAGTAACCCGTTGGCACTTAGCATTATCTGTAATTTTTCAGACGCCACCCAACTCAGGGAGAGTGCAGCATATATGGTGCTTTATTCAGGAAAGGGTGGGCTCCTATAGTAGCTGTTACTCGCTCCATTCTAAAGAGCAATTTTGCTGAAGACTTGTTTTGTTCTCAACATTGACATCTTGGTCTTTAGTCACCATTTTTAAAACAAAGACCTTTCACTAGGCTTTGACAAGACACATTTTCTAGCTCTAAACTCATACTTAAGATTCAAAACTCAAAAGTGAACTTTGCCTTGCCTGAGTCAAGAGAAATGAGTCGTGGGTAGTTTGGGGATATGGAGGGGCGTGGGGTTGGCTGAGAGATGATCATTTTACTCTCAGCATTTGAAGGGAGAAGATGGAGAGGTGGGGAGAGGCCAAACCGGGGCGGTGGTGGGGGGGAATCAGGGATCATTCTTTTTATTGGAGTATAGTTGCTTTACAATTCTGGGTTCGTTTCTGCTGCACAGCATCGTCAATCAGCTAAACGTATACATATGTTCCCTCCCTCTGGAGCCTCCTTCCCCACCCCACCCCTCTGGGTCATCTCTCTCCCTATCTATTTCACAACTGGCAGTGTACACGTGTCAAGGCTACTCTCTCAGTTCGCCCCTCCCTCTTCCTCCCCGCCTGTGTCCAAGAGCAATTCCTACGGCTTTCTTGCAGGATGGCTTCTATAAAAAGTTGCCTGTTGGGAGGATCAGCTCACGATTCACTCCTTCCTGGGTCAGCCCCCTCAGTGGTTCACCAAAAGGACCTGAAGGGAGGGCAAGACTGACAGGGAGAGGACCATGTGTCTGACCCATTTGATGGCCTTTTCTAGAGTCTGAGTCTTTTTTTTCCCTAGGGACTGATTCTTTATAAACACCAGGTGCTGTTTGATTCGCTTTTCAGGATCACACAGACGTGTCCTCCATCTACATTGTTCAGAGTGGCGGTAAATGCCGGGGAGGTTCTGGCTCCAGGGGCTCAGAGCTTTGCAATGTTAATACTTACGATCAAGAGGGACTTCCAGTGCACTAATCATCTGGCACAGGAAGAGCATCAGCGGCGCTCTGCCTGCAGATAAGCGCTTCTTTTTCGGCATTATTTTAAGCTGCATTAGCCGAGCTCCTGCTGAGCCCCACAAGCTGAATTTCCTTTTCTTCTTTCACAAAAGATTTCTGTGCAGTGTTTCAATAATTCTCATGCAGGAAACTGAAAAAGCATAGAAGAATGAGTGCATCTTTTTTTTTGAAAGAAGGAAATGAAGAGAGGAACTCTGCAGTTCAGAACATCAGTTCTGTATAATACATGAACTCTAAATGGGAGCTAACTTTTAAATATTTAACTCTGAGGACTGAAAGAATCATTTATTCATAAATCAGCTAAAATTAGGTCAGATATATTTGCAATGATGTCAAGCAAAACCTATCAATGCCATCCTTCTGGTTTTCCCAGTTTAAATATCTGTGTTTATATCAGAGGCTACCATGTCTCTAATAGAGCAAGAAAACTTGGCTTATAAATCAGTTAAAAGGTGTGACTTTGAAGGGGAGGCCTAATGGTTTCTCTTTTCCAGAGATTCTCTCTGGGAAAGTTCAGGGTGTAGTTGTCAATTTGTTTCAAACCTCAAACTGATTTACTGGCAGAGCCACCAAGAATACTGGCCTTTTCCATCTCCTACCCGGACTGTGGCAACAGACATGCCTGGGCTCTGAGTTTCAGGTCTTCCTCACTGCAGCAACCCTCTGAAACAAAGCTGACTAATTTTCTCAAAAGGTCTTTGGTTAAATCGTCGGAGTAGTCTCATAGGACCTACCCAATAAAGTTCAAAATACCCTTAAACAGGTAATAAAAAAACTTCAAAGATCTGGTCTGAGTTTATCCTACCAACCTTATTTCCTCTTATTTCCACAGAAGTTATTAATTTTTTTTTGTTTGTCTGTTTGATTGCCTGATTCTGCTTTTCTTTTTTGGGTCAGTCCCTCAATATGCTTTGAGTTTTCCCAACTTCTTGCCTTGGTTTATCCCACTCCTTTTACCTGGAATGTCCTCTCCACCAAATTTCCTCATCAGTGCCCAAAGGATTGCTTTATAGATCATTGAAAATGGAAACACAAGCTGACCACTCAAATAAAGTCATTTATTTCACCCTCTGAGAACCCCTGAAATCCTTGTTTTATTCGTCACATTATAATACAGGTATATACTTTGGGGGGATATGCATGCTCTCTCCCCTACTACTGCAGGCAAAGATTGTGCCTCTCCCATCTTTGTACTCCTCTACAACCTAAAATAGTGTACCTGGCACATGAAAGTGTCTACTGTACACACGAAAAGATGAGCACAAACACAGAATACAGGCTTCTGTCCGACAGCAGACTCCTGTGTGAAATGATGGGTATAATTTTCTCCCTAAGAGATGCGAGTGACTAATGGCTCTCTCTCAAGAAGGTAGGAGAGATGCCATTATTATAAACTAAGGTCATTCATGCAGTTTCATTACTGAATTATTTGTGTAATTGTGTATTTTAAAAATATCTATCTTTCCCACTCAACTGAAAACCTCCAAAGGGTAGGGACCACATCTTCCCTGTTCCCTATCATGTCCCCAGAGCTCATCACAGTGTCTGGCACATGGTAGGGAGTAAATAATATTGGTAGAAAAAAAAAAGACAGGGAAAGGGGAAAGATGAGGTTGCATTCAGAGAAGAACTCTGGCCACAGTCTGCCTGAGGCTATATTTATATTTATACTTATGTATGTATGCATGCTCAGTCATGTCTGACTCTTTGCAATCCCATAGCCCGCCAGGCTTCTCTGTCCATGGGATCTTCCAAGCAAGAATACTGGAGTGGGTTGTCATTTTCTCTTCCAGGGGATCTTCCCAACCCAGGGATTGAACCCACATCTCTGGAGTCTCCTACATTGGCAGGGAGATTCTTTACCATCATACCATCTGGGACTCCTTGGTTTCCCACCAGAATTCTTCCGTTTCTTACTCAATTTAGCATTATGGTCTAAAAGTCAGAAAACTGTATTTCTCCAAAAGTCTTTTATATAAATCCTCTTGAAGAGGAGGCATTTTTGCAAAGGTAACAGACTGAAACCATAACTGTCTATATTTATACTACTTGGTTTAAAAATGAAACTCTTATCAATCTGATCAAATTAGTTGGCATATTATGTCTGTGTGTGGAAGAGAGCTTAAATGTATAAAAGAGAAATGAAATGATGCTGATAACATGTGTTTTGCTAGCAACTGAGTTCTGATTTGAACATGATTATAACTGTAGTTGGGTATTTCTTGCAAAACAAATACAAAAATATGCTAAACAAATGCAAAAAATTCTAAACATAGACATTATATAAACATAAATACTATTTTGTGAATGAAACATCCATACTGTGTGCTTTCATTTAAGATCCTGGAAATTTGTCTTTCTATATTACAATACATAAACATCATGATTTAAACATTGAGAGGCAGGTAGAGAAGCTCACCCAACCATTTCTAACCAAAATATAAACCAGACTGTCTTTCTGTGCATGAAAAGCAGATCTATACTATTTAATCAGATTTACTTAGGCTTTTCATGATTTTTTCTGTTGAAATGCTAGTTGTGAATTTATAGATAGTCTTCAAGGAAAATAAACATAAATGGCAAGATGACCCTAAAACAAGTCAATGGTACATGTTACACATATTGAGAGAAAACTATAGAATCAAACACTGAGAAAACAAAGGGAACACCTGCCTGAACTGTGTGTCAAACTAATTGAGTTTATTCAATTTAAGTGCCTGGAATAGATGCCAGAGAACTAAAACACTTTTTAGAAGACGTACAAATAAATGCACGTAAGATCTTAAGCAACTACATACAATTTCTAAGTTCTTCATTCATTATTTGTTTTCCCTGAATGCCTTAACTATTCATCCTTCAAAACAGAGAAACTATTAGACAACATCCTATAAAAGAAAGTATCATTCAACCTGCTTATCTTTTCAGAATATATATGGAATAAAATACTGCACATTAAATCACAGTGTTGTATAAAGAAAAAAATAAAAATCTTAAGAAAAATTGAGACAGCACTTACTTAAAGAGACATGAGTAAATCTTCACAATGAGAGGAGGTCAAGAACTATAATAAATGAAGATGCAGTCTCTCATTGGAAACTGTAAGCTCATTTAAACCAATAGCCACAAAATCATCTCCAGTGTAGGTTCTGTTTGGGGAGGACAAAGCTATGGCCCAGCCCATCCTCTGAATCCTGCCCATGGAAAATCACTGACTTCTCCTATGAATGCCATCACAGGTGAATAACCCAATCTCTAAGGACAGCACCAGGTCCCTGACACTCAGTCACAGTGAAAATCAAACACAACTACAGAAAACTGAACTTTCTTTCTGTAAGAGTGATGGGCTTTGCATGTCTCACAAAGGAAAACCACTGCTTCTGCACTCTGAGTACTGACGTCAGAGCCCTGCCCTGCCAGGAGCCCACCCACCTGGTAGTTTACCTTGGAAAAATGGTCATTCTCTTTTACGTGAGAATCATGAACTAAAACTAAATGGTGTATGCAATTACATTAAGATGAATGAAACGCCCATCTGAAATAGCATCTTGTTTAGTCAAGTTATAGGGCATGCTAGCACAACATAGTTTGTAATTTTAAAAAAATATTTGCCAGACATTTTAAAGCATATTTGAATGAGAAAGATGATAGGTTCATCTTCAGAATACAAATCACCCCAATATTTAAAACTACATATATTAAAATGACCCAGAGTAATCACAAACAGTAAAGCCTTTTACTACTATTTTGCTCCATTTAACTCCATTCAAAGTGACTTTTCACATATTACCTTTAGAATCTCTGAAACAGAAGAGAAAAAAAAAATCTCCCTTATTTAGTAAACATATCACCATTAGGAAAGAAATGCAACTTAAGGTTCCCTTATTTCTTTTGTCTAAAATTCATATTAAGTCATACAAGCACACGTTTTAACAAAGGTTTCATACTCCTGTTGCTTACCTAAGAAGTCTTGTCATTAGAAAGAAAAGAAAATATTTGCTTTTCTCAAATGAGAAATGAAATTAATTTGAATGAAAAAAATAGCAGTTCTCTACCAGAACCAGGAGGCCATGCATTACTTACCATTTCATTCTAGCCTATTTGTACTTTTTAGAATCCCAACATGGGTGGTGCAGTGCTGACTGCACAGTGGAACATGACCTACTCTCTAAGCCAATAAACAAAGATGCTTATGTGACTGCACGCCCTTTGGCACACTAGTTATTGCCCTGGTGAGCCACCAGCGGCTGGCCTCTCTGAGTGGGTAGCTAACTGGAAGTGGCATCATCTTGACTGTGAAAGGTATTTTTGAGCAGCCAACTCAGGACGGTTACTGTTTCGTAATTGAAGTACAGTTCATTTACAATGTTGTATCAGTTTCTGATATACAGCAAAGTGATTGACACACACACACACACACACATATATATATATATATATGTATCTGTGTGTATATATATATATATATATTCTTTTTCATATTATTTTCCATTATGGTTTATTACAGGATGCTGGACATAGTTCCTATGCTATATAGTAGGACCCTGTTGTTTTTCTATTTTATGTATAGTAGTTTGTGTCTACAAATCCAAACTTCTAATTTATCCCTTCTCCATCCTCTTCCCCCTGTGGTAACCACAAGTCTGTTCTCTGTGTCTGTGAGTCTGTTTCCATCTTAAACATAAGTTGATTTATGTGATATTCTAGATCCCACATATCAATGATAGTGATGTCACATTGTATGTCTTTGGTTTATTTCACCTAGCATGATAATCTCTAGGTCCATCTATGTTGCTGCAAATGGCATTATTTTGTCCTCTTTTTTTTTTTTTTTTTACAGCTGAGTAGTATTGGGATGGTTACTTTTTATATTTTGTTAAACATTTACCAAAAGGAATAAGCATATTAATGCCCAATCATAGCCCATGCCTATGCTTGTCAGTCATAAATTTTGAGTCTGAGACTATGGAAGGAAGATTAGAGAGAAATGGACAAAACAGTTTGTATAGTTAACACATCAACAAAGTCATACAAATCT